CCGAGGGGCTCCCCACACTCTCTTGAAATGCCCTGATCTTCCTGTCACTGCAGGGGAACGAAGTCCTTCATCTCCCAGGAGAGCAAGTGACTGAGGAGCATTTCACAGATGATCACGGCAATATTATCACCAAGAAGGTGAGTGATCGAGAGTGTGATGGGGGCAAGGGCATGCTGCAGCCTTTCTCCTCTGCCCTCTGCACTGCTCCTCATAGCAGCCTGTGCAGGGCACTCCTGTCCTGCCATCTTCGGTTACAGTCATGGCACTTCTCCGGCCAGACCCTGCGCGTGGGACAGAGGCTGCACGGCGCGTGCAGTTCAGGGCAAGGCTGGGCGCGGAAGGAGGCATGGTGCCCGGGGGCTGGCCGTGATGCCTGGCTGTGTGGGTCTCCACAGGTCATCCGGAAGGTGGTGCATCAGCTGGGCCCTGGGGACACGGATGACAGGCAGGAACAGGAAGAGCTAATTCTGGAGGGCTCCCTGCAGGAGCCCCAAGACCTGGAGGCTGAGGATGAGCACTTCATGAAATACTCCATCCTGCACCGGGATGGTCTGGGGGCCAAGGTACAGTGTGGCTCATAGCCCTGCCTCGCAGGCACCCTGCCCGGTGCCAGTACCGCCTCTGCAGGACTCACAGGCTCTGGGGCTCCACTACCCTCTGTCCTTTCTTCTGCCCTGCTTTCCTCTCCTGTTTCCTCTCTAAGGCTTCCAGGGGCAGCTCTTGCCCACTGCACCAGTCTTCTTGCTTGGTGTCTTCTGCCAACTGACTCTGCCTTTCCCTCTTCTGTCCTCTTCTGTATGTCTGTCTGTTCACCTGGGTGATGTCCTGCTTCTGCCCCTGTGGCTTCCTCAGGAGGAGGTGCGAGTGCGTGTCCCGAAATCAGAGGTCTCCGGGGGCAGGATGGGGGCTCAGATAGTGAAACGAGCCAGCCTGAAAAGAGGGAAGCAGTGACCCCTCAAATGGCCTCTTTTGAGGTAACCCCACCTTTGCTCTTCCTTCTGTCCCAGCTCCCCATGCTGCTGCCTGTACTGAGCTGCTGGTCATGCATGTCCTGGGAAAGAATGACAGGACTGTGGCCAGCCCTCGGCCTGAAGGGAAGGGTTGCTGGGCTGCAGCAAAATGCCGAGGGTAGGCAGTGACGTGCCCAGGCTGCTGACCCATTCCTGAGCCCAGGGCCTGGGTGCAGTCGGCACAGGGTGCCCTGTCAGCTGGCCCCTGGGGCTTCATCAGCCTCTATGCTCAGGATTCGGCTGCACCACAGCGCTGGGTGCTGCTACTGTGGTCACAGCATCCTCGGTCCTCGGGGTGACGGTCCCCAGCAACGGGGCCACAGGGTTGTTACTCCTGGTTATGCTTGGCTAAAGCAGAGGGATGATGTTTGTCCAAGACTGCTCCAGAGCGTGGAG